AGTGGAAGGGGACCGGGGAGGGAGAAGAGGAGCCTGGGGAGATATTAGGAACTGAAATCAATCAAATTACATTTTTATGTATAAACAAATATGCCAAGATTAAACACACCATTCTGTATATTTAATACACATCAATAAAACAGAACAGACCAAAAAAAAAAAAAAAAGTAGTTGACTGAGCCAGGTATGGTGGTACATGCCTATAGTCCCAGCTACTCAGGAGGTGGAGGCCTACAAATTTGAGACTATGTGTTCCATGTGTTTGAGCTTAGCCTAAGCAACACAGTGAGATAAAAAAAAAAAAAAAATCAATTGGCAGTAAATACTTGAATTAACTTCTGAATTTTCTTGTGCCTGGACCATGCTATTTTGATTACTATAGCTTTGCAGTATGTTTTGAAGTCTAGTATTATAATGCCTCCAAGTTTTCTTTCTTTTCAGGATAGTTTTGGTTATTCTAGGTCTTTTATGGTTCCATATGAATTTTGTACTCTTTGTGGTTCTGTGAAAAAATGCCATTGATATTTCAATGAAAATTTCATTGAATCTTTACATTGCTGGTAGTATAGACATTTTAACAATATTAATTCTTCCAATCCATGGAAATGGAATTTCTTCCAGTATGTTACTTTTTTTATATAGGTATTGTGAATAGGATCCACAATGTGAATAATGTGCTGGGGATAAAACCCAGGTCCTTGAACTTGCACATGTTTTAACACAGAGCTACATACCCAGCCTCATTTTAAAATTTCTTTTTCAGCTAGTTATTGTAGAAAAAGGTGCCCATGTGTTCTATGTTGATTTTGAAACTTACAGTATCACTGGATTTGTTTATAAGTTTCAATGGTCTTTTGATGAAGTCTGTTTTTCTTCACATGATGGATTGCTGGATTGCATAGGTTACTATCTTTCTGCTGCTGCTATTGTTGTTTCTCTGTGTGTTATTCCCTCCCCCCCCCCCCCCCCCCCCCCGAAACAGAATTTTCTCCTCAAATCTGGTTTTCAGCAACTTGATTCTGTGCTTTAGTGTCTTTTGTTTGGTTGGGTTTCTGTAGATTTATGCTTCTATCAATTTAGAAAAAAAAATCAACCATTATTTTTGGTCAAAAACTTTGTGTCCTCTTATTTTCTCCTTTCCAAACTCCAGTTGCACCATCATTCACCTTTCTATTTTCAGTTTAAAAGTTTTTCTGCTCACTTTTTCTACACTTTATTTTGGATATTTTCTATTATTGTTTTAAAGTTCACAGCCTTTTTCTGCTGTATATAATTTGCTTTTAATCTTATTCCATGTATTTTTCATTCTGCATATTGCATTTTTCATCTGTAGAATTTCTATTGGGATCTTCTTTATGTCTGCCATTTCTATTACTATGTTCTTAACTTCATTTTATCTGAGTAGACTTATCATTCTTTTAAAGATTTTTTTTCTATTAATCCCATTAGCTCTTTATTTTGATGATTTTTTTTTTTTAATCCTGGTTAAGGGGTTATCGTTTTTGTTACTTTGCATGTCTGGTAATTTTGATGGGAATGCTGGACATTTTTATTGTTTTACATTGTTGAATGCTGGATTTTGTTATACTTCATGAACAGTGAACTTGGTTCTGGCATACAATGTTACTTGAAGTTCAGTTTGAACATTTTGAGATTCTCTTTTAAGATATTAAGGTAAATCCAAAGTAGCTTTTATTCTAAAGTTAATTTAGCTCTTCTCCTAAAGCACAACCCTTCTGAGGATGCCACCTAATGTCATATGTAGTACAAACTCCCTCTATTTTGGTTGGTGAGAACATGTTTAGCTGTGTGAGGTCCAGGGAACTGTTTTGTTTAATGCTTTCTAGACATTCCATAGCCTTCTTAATTAGTACTCAAGTCATTTCCTTTATTCCATGCAAACACATACCAAGAGAGAAGAAAGAAGACCATGACAATGACTTCTGGAGTTCATTTTCTTTTGGCAGCATTCCAGACAACCTGAACTTAGGCAACTTATCTTCTTGATGTGGCAAGACCAGTATGTTTATTTTGGTTCCTCTGCCTGGCAGCTGCTTCCAGGAATAATATGGGGCAATCATAAGTCTTACTTCCTTTACCCACCTGCCTCAACCTCCAGGGATCATTAGCTCTGGCATTACCTATAGTTCAATGTTTGAAATAGTTTCTTCATGTATTTGTCTGGTTTTCTAGTTGACTACGGCAGAAATAGTAATTCAGAGGTCAATGTGAAGATAAACTGATAAAAAATTTGTTTTCATAATGAGCAAAAGTCAACATTGCTTTTACTAGTATTATACTGTTTCTTCGGTATATGTTCTGAGAGATTTTTTGGAAAGATAACAGCTAAAATGTACCTTTTATTTTTTTTTTACTTCTGAAAGCAAGAGTTAATTCTGAGTTAATAAAAGATTCTTAAGTTACTATACTTTAATGTACTTAGAGAACTATTAATTTTGAGTAATTGGACTTCATTTCTTTCAATTTAGTTTAACATTAAAACCAGGTATCCTTTCTTTTTCAGAAATGCTACACATCAATATAAATACCCCACATATATTTATAGCATCAAAATCAGAGGGTAGTATATCTGATCATAGTAGGGGTTACCAGGATATAAAACTCTGGAAAAACTATCATTCCACCAAACATAAGGTAAAAAATATTGCAGGGTAGAAAATATATTAAGAAATACAAGGACAGAAAATTTTGAAGGAGTTTTAGTGAAGATCTTAAGCTCAATAACAAGACAAGAGGAACATGAAATTGAGAATGGGCTTACTGAGTTTCAGATCTATATATTACTATGCTTTGGATCTTAAATGTTCCTGAAAGGTCCATGTTGAAAGCTTGTTCCCTGAAGTGGTGCCATTAGGAGGTTGTAGACCCTCTAAGAGGTGAGACCTAGTAAGGTCTTCAGGTCATTGAGGCCATGTGGGACCTTGGCCTCTTCCTCTCTTTCTGTTTCTGGCCAAAGAGGTTCTCTACACCACATACTTCCATTGAAATGGGTTTAATTGATTAGGGACTGAATTATTTAAAACTGTGAGCCAAAATAAATCTTTTCTCTTTATAAGTTGCTGATCTTAGGCAGTAAAGTAACAAAAAGCTGATTAATATAAATATTTTGCCTTTTTTGGACTATTAAAACAACTTGTTCACATTTTATAGATGAGGAAATTATCAAAGACAGAAAGGTAGTCAGTGAATATTTCCATGTACTTTCCACCACTAATGACTGCAAAACTAACTGGATAATGTGGGGAAAGGGTCACAAGATACCAATTAGCAGGACACTAAGGTGGTGGCAATAATTTTAGGATCAGAAATATAAAGTAATCAGACATTGTCTGATCTTGTGAAACCTATATATTCCCACAAGTTTTTTGATTACTTCATATCTACCCTTTTTTAAACATGCAATATTCTACCCACTTTCACTTTTCTCTTAGAAGTATGACTTTTTATTTCCTGAGAAAGCAAATGTATCAGAGGATTTCCACATGCAACTAATATAAAATCTACCAATAAATTCATCTGTATTTGAATTTAGATTCTACCTTTATATAGAATGGAATATGTCCATGTGCATGCTGTAGCCTAGGCTAAGCTCTCTACTGCATTGGATTCCATATACTTCCACAGACCAAGGAGTTGCTTTTGAAGATAACTATTATCCTTTCTCACCATTTCCTGCTCTACTAGATCAAAAATTTCAACCAATATGCATAGTCAAAAACTTTGTCTCATCACTAAAACATAGTTCAATAAGACTCACAACTTGCTCACAATTTGGTTTTGGTTCATGTGTGTCCAGAGCAATTGTGGAAACTACATATTTTATAAAGATCTTTTCTAGTGTTACAATTTTAGGTCATTCTAGTAATAATAGCAAATACTTAGTGTTTATTCTATGCTTGATACTCACTAAACACTTTGCAGTGCCTTACTTAACACTCACAATAATCCTAAGAGAGGTACTATTATAATCTTCATTTTACAGATAAAGAAACTGGGGCTTAGAGAAGTTAATAACTCGTCTGAGGTTATTAGCTAGTAAATAGCACTGCAGATCTCAAATCTGACTTCAGATTTCATGTTATTAAAGTGTCATACCAATTATTTTGTGATCTCAATTGCATACATACTAATGCAAATGAAAGTTTACTGCTTTTTATATTTATATATTTAATGTCAATAAATAGAAAAGCAAAAGTTGTTACAAAATCCACAATAATTTTTATCTTAATTTGCAACATAATTCACACGATCAGGAATGTTTTAGCATACAAGTACCTTGGAAAGAATTCTAATTTTAATTTGGTTCAATAATTTAGTAGCCACGGTTTCTGGGCTAACGTTATATTCATCATTTTCTGACCAAATTTTTAATAAAACAAAATAATAGCATTAAGTGGATTACAGTCATTCTATATAACAATAATATAAAATTACATTGGAAAATCAGAAGTCATTAAATATTAAGAGTATATTACATAATATTATGTCTTATGGTGCACTTAAGGAATAGATACTTAATAATCTTTAAATTTAAAAAAAGGAAGAACAACTTCATATTTATATAAAGTAATCAAGCAGAACCTTGTGTTAAAAAGAAGGGGATTTATATTTGGCATTTTCTTCCATTGAAAAAATATAGCTTGTGCTGTCATCATGACATTTACTTAAATGTTTATAAAAAGCATTTAGGTCACTAATTCTCAAAGTTAGCTGAACACTGAATCAGATAGAAATGTCTATATCACCCCACTGCAATTTAAAATTAACTGATATAAAGCAGACTCTATACATACTGATTGTTTTATAATGCCTCAAGTGATTCCAATTTGCACCAGTTTAAAAACCACTAGCTTAGAGAATTGTTTCATAATCACAAAGATCAATCTTTGGATGGGATTCCTCATGGCTTGATTTTAGTGAGTGTATTGTTTTTAAGTATCTGATATATGTTTCTCCCTTGATTAAAAAAAATAAATACGTAAAGGGAATAGATTGATTTATTCATCATTGCCTCCACATTCAGGGAACAATGAAAGGAATATAGTAGTTGCTGAATACTATTCTGAATGAACACGATAGCCCTATACTTTTATATATCTCCATCTTCTGGTAGATTATAAATGTAAAAATTCAAAAGATATTTATGGAAAAAAAATGAATGAATAAAGCAATGAGGATAATGGTTAAAGTGAAACAAAATCTTACATAAACATATTTATATTTAAACAACACACATACATACACACACACACACACACACATATATAAATAGATCAAAGTAGAAAAAGAATATACAAAAGTGCAACATTTAGCAGTTGAGAATTCATTGAACTTTCAAATATTCTTCACATTCTTATACTTAGAAACAAAGAAGTAATCCTAAATAACTACTCCTTCAGCTAATATCCATAAACAAATGCGTAGATAAGTTTTCTTTTTCTAAAGTTTTCTTTTAGAAACAGTTACAGCTTAATCTTGATGAACACAAACACAACTCAGTTTTCAAAATTCAAGTAAATAAAATTTTAGTATAACCATTGCAGATTTTCCAGATAGTAGCATTACAAAATAAGATTGTTTCTGGTTAAAATATTTGGTATTGCCTATTATTATGCTTTCTCAGTTGAGATTCAGTAGCTCTTTCACAGTCTCAAATTGATAACTATTTGGCACATCCTCACATCATGTGTTTACGTAAGAGAAACCTGACTAATAAGAGAATCCCATTTTAATAGCTAGATTCACAGATATGGCTTCATTTATCAAAGTTCGACAAGTATTAGATAATTTTTAATTTAGTTAGTATCTTAGACTACGAAACTTTGGTTTTCTTAAAATCAACATTGGTTGCTTGATTGTAGGTTTCTCACCAAAAAGTGCTGCTTCACTCTCTGTGGTTGGAAATCTTTTCTGATATATCAAAGGATATTCCTTCTGAAACTTAAAAATAAGGTGAGGAATTAGAAGGTATTTAACACTTATTTCCCTAGTTGATGCCAGAGCTCAACATTTGTGATAAGAATTTAGCGCATTTCTCAAAGATGGATTACAGAGACAATAGCCTTTCATTTTATCCTTGCTCCTCGTTCCCTTTCTTTTCATATATGTGAAAGGTACACTAGAAGATCTTTTAGATCCCTGTTGGCAATGACATTCTAGGATTCTTTTTTACTGCTAATTCTCCCCTTAATTTCCAGATCTTTTCAATTGGAAAGCCCATGAAGGTCTCAGGGATCTGGTATAGTTCACATTTCTTTGAGTGTTTCCAACTTAGAATTAGTCTTACTAGAATTATGGAGCAACTGGGGTTTGGATTAAAGCTAGAGTTTCTAAATGATAGTGATGACTCACCCAAACTATGTCCAGATTTTATAATTGCTTTTCTAGGCTAATTTCAGCTGTAATTACACAAAACACCAGAAACAAGGAGAATACTGTTATTATTGCTAATATTTTAAAATTTATGATTCAGGATATATTTTAGAAGTAGTTTAATGCTTACATATAATGTACCATAATATGTAGCTTATACACTTAAAATTTAAGTTCCAAATGATTGAAATAAGAAATTGGATTCTAAATGTTATAAAACGACAACAACTTACAGCATATTACAAATATGACTGAGCACTTGCTCATTCTCTTACCTGTTTTAGTTTTCTTCTTTTCTCTTTTAGAGGCAAACTCTTATTTTTAATAATATTCTCTAAAAGTTCTGCAATTGCTGCTTGAGAGGTAGAAACCTTTTGTTCATCAAACTCCTGAGCACTAATTTGTTTACAATAAGAATAAGTTGGCAAAGGAGCAAATAGTCCATCTCCAGGATTTTTAACCTGTAGTGAACAACATGAGATAGTAAAAAAATCTATTATTTTTGATGTCCTTATTTGGTAAAGCATTCTTTTGATGAGATCTAGTACTGATTTATTTTGCTACTTATCAATCATTCAATGCATTAAGAAAATTGTTTTATGCAGTAGTGATGAGTCAGTAGTATCAAAATTCTAGTTCTACAGCCTACTGGGTTTTATAATTCAGCATAAAACATCAATATTATGACTTAGTAATAAAGTATCCACCTACTGTTTTTGAGGCTTAGGGGCATGATATTAATGGGCATCCATTGATAACAGAAAGCAATTGTAGGAAATGGTTGTAATTATCATAAGCCAGGACAATATTAGAATGAGAGAAAGCACAAATGCATGTGCTGGTCAGCCTAAGCTGAATACAGCAGTTACCTGTTGTTTTTGGCTGCTCAGTATGCCTTTTCTCTTTCTTTTAATAATTCCTTCCCATGCTGTTCCCTCTACCTTTTTTGAAAAACAAATTCTGATCTAATCTATGTAGAACCAATTAGAATATGACCCTCTTTCTATCTTACTTATACTCAATCACTCAAAGAATGCATATTTAATCTGGATCGGGCCAATTGAGAGTCCAAACCCAGAAGTTTTCAAATTGGGGGTGGAGGGTTGGCTCTTTTTCTTTGTATTCCAAACATAGGGTGTGATGCATGAACTTTAATCAGCCATATCCCCCATCATGTGATAGAGGCATTTGTCAAAAATAGGACTGAAATGTAAATAAGAGATGGTAGGATGGGCACAGATTCCTAGTTCTATGTCTACACTACTGACTTTTAGAAGTTATTTAGATGCATTAATAAAATCTCCCTTTCTGATGGGGCTAGTTTGAGATAAGTTTGACATGTGCAAATGACTAATGCACAGACTTTTAAGATTCAAAAATACCTACGTGGCCCTTTTTTAAATAGTCAAGATGTTTCTCTACTGCAGTCTGTAAGTAAGAAGGTACTTGAAGAATTTCCTGATGATGATCCATTAAGAAAGAAACTAATCTTGCAGCAAGAAGCTCATCAAGATCCACTTCTTCGGCACAGCACAGCACACACCGAGAAAAAGTGTGTATCATCTAGAAACAGCAAAAAAATTTGAATTTAAGAATTTAAGGTTTCATATAAATTAGAATATCAGTAATTTCCAGGCAGCACTATGTGAAATATTGAGATAAAGTGACAAGCAGACTTCACATTAAAAATGAGGATAGTAATTTATTACGATTAGAAAGGTAAAAATTCTAATATATTTAAGTCTTTTTTAAAGTCCTTGTTAAGTATTTCCTTAACATAATTCTAAAGGGCTATAATAAGGCTTAGGTTTATCTTCAGTTTTGTCACAATTATATCTGTAAATACTGCAGGTTCTATCAATACCACATGGATATGTTGTTTAAAAAGTTATTAGAAAACAGGAACTTACCACATTAAATTAATTTCACAAAAATATAAACCAGGAGAATATATCACGCACACAGAATATATATTCAGCAGAGGTTGCAAACTTGGCACTATATCTTTTAAAACTCTGGAAAATAGTTGTTAAAGCTTATTCTATCAGTCTTTAAACAGCAAATTAATACACACATTTTTCAGTTCTGTTGTAGAAATCTTTATATCTTGAGATAAATTTTGTTTCAAAACTTATCACTCTCACTCGTATCCACATAAATCCACTAACACACACGCCCCACACTCATTCTATAATAATCAGAATGGTTTTTCTTTCTAGTTCCAAGGCTCAGTCCTCAGCTTTTTGCTCTTTTCTATATTCTTAAACCTCTTTTATTATCTTCAATTACCATCTCTATGCGGATGACTCAATAAAAACTTCCTCTGTCGTGACCTTTTGTTCGCCTTGCTCACATTCCCAATATTTTGCTGGATAAATTTTACTTGAATGTCTTATAATTTTAAAACCAAAATTATGTCCTTCTCACTTAATGTTTCTCAAACATCTTCTCTTAAAAACTTATTCTTCTTAATAGTGCCATAATTACTCAAGAATAGTTCTCCTTCTTTATATTATGTCTGCCACTATAAAGAACTGGCATTATAATGAGTGGAAAACCAGAGAATAGCTATAGATTCCTTACTGTGACAAGCTGCAGCCTAAGAAAGTAGCAGTTCTTAGAGGCAACAGATCATTTCAAAGATTCATTTTCAACAATAATATGTATATAAATGCCTCAATCCTCATTGTCTAAGAAGCCTAAGACTGCTTGATAATAATGTTTCCCAACTTTTTCTACCATGATGACTTGCTATCATAATTCATCAAATATACCTTTCCTCCCACCATACTCTGAAACACTTACTATAAATGGATTTATCTTTAGTTCTCCACTTTCACAGAGCTCTAGTACCCTTAAGGGTTAAACACTATCTATGATATAGCATCCTCTTCTTTTCTCACCAAAAAGAATTGGCACAAACTAGCATAATGTGATCTGACTGTAGATCTATCATTAGGAAGCTATATAGGATGCATGAGAAGGCAAAGTCCTCTGTCAAGATTAACACCAGGATACAAAAGTATAACAGACTGGGCAAAAAGATTAGTACACAAATATTTGCTGCTAGGAAAAGTTAAATTTCTAAGTCTTTCTAACTCAGGAATGTAGAACTTCCAAGATCAGAATTCACTTGAGTAGTACTTTAAGATAGATTGTTTTCTTTTTTCATTTGTTTTTTCACAAAACAAATTACGAACCAGAATTTATTATTTCCATAAGAAATAAACTTACCAGTGATCTTGTACCCATTACATCATGGAGTTTGGGCATATCAACATTTTGACTCATTCGAGAAATCATGCGCATTAAAAGTTGAAGCCGTCTACGATTTGGTGGGGGAAGTAACAAACAACATAACTGCAGTGCATTGATGGCAACTCTCTCTAAATGAGGTTGCAGCAAACCTAGAAGGTAAAGTCACCCCCACCCCAAAAAAGTTCATCAATGATACTAATTGCTTTCATACTACCAGTATATATAGTTATAAAAAGAGGTTAAGATAATATCTTAGAATTTAATTTCTTTTGACTATGTAGAAATTTCCATATTCCTCAAAAATATAACAAGATTCTCATTATTTTCCTCATTACATATTTCTAATTATTAAAATTCTTCACTTATTAAAAAGAAAGTGACAATAAGCAAAATTGAAGAAAAAGAAAGTAAGTGCTTTAAGAAGGTTGAGTAAATCTTGGTTATGTCATGACAAAGTCCTTTACAATAATATCTTTTGGAGGAAAAAGAATAAGCAATTTCAGAGAAGAAGAGCAATATAAGCAAAATACAGAGTTAGTAAACACAAAAAATTAATTTTGCATGCACTGGAAGCAACAACCTTACTTTGCGTGCCAGTCAACACAGAAGAAGCTGGAAGTAAAGGATTTTCTGAAAGTTCTATTGTACTTTTGCAAAGTCTTTTATTGATTGTGGTACTAGACTCTCCGAGTTCACTGTCCATAGCTGCTTGCACACTTGTGCTCCCTTTTCCAAGATTTGGTTTCATGATAATTTCAGCCACTGGTGTATTGATATAACTACTCCGTCTTGTACTACTTCTTAAAAGTAAACTCTGAGATCTACAAAGTTGTTTTGACTTGCATTTTCCATTACATAATTCTTCTTGGTCTTGAATAGTCAATGTAGAAGTTCTCTTAAACCCAACACAGAGTGGTTTTTGAACACTTTCCTCTGAATGAAGATTCAATAAAAATTCCTGGTTCAGCTCTGACTCTAAAAATTGTTTATTATTTTGTCCTTCTATGTTCTTAACAGATTGATGGAAGGTACTAGACACCTTTTTATTTGAATTCTCAGGCATATCTATAATTCCCTCCAAAGAAGAGCACCTTGGTTTGATGTTAGAGGCCAGAACATGCATACTACTTAAGCCTATTAAATTATGACAACTTCCTCCCATTATGTCATTGGCACTGGCTCTTCTGTTTCTTAAATTAACTAGCTGCAATTTCTTAGCACATCTTTCTTGAAATCCTTGATCACTTATCTGTAGTTTCTCAGTAGAGTCTGATTCTTCTTTGTTTTTGTCTTTGTGAAGCAGACTAAGAAGAAGACATTCAGTTGATTTGAAGGAATTCAGATTGTTTAAGTGAAGGGTTTTTTTTGAAGTCTCTGGATCATCTTGGATTTTATGTATCCCACTGGGTCTATCTGAAACTGTGACGTAGCCACAAACAACTACCAGGAAATGAAACAAAAATTAAGATGCAACTGTATGACAGTGAACAAAAATAATAGTACAGTTAAAAAACAAAGCATCCCTATGGTACATGTTGTTAGTATAGTACAAATAGCTGCTTAATGTGGAAGGCACTTAAATAGGACACATGCAACATTCAGTTATAAACATGCAAGATTGACTAGAGGTTTCCCTTTTTTTGTGTGATATAAGTAACATCCTAATTAAATGGATCAAGTCAAAATTCATTTAAAAATATCTGCCCTCATTCTAGAAGTACCAGAAACCTCTTAATTACAAGACAACCATGGTATAATAGAAATTTACAGTCATCTGTTGGTATCCTTGGGGAACTCATTCTAGGATTGCCCATGGACACCAAAATGTACTTACATAAGTCTCTTACATAAAATAGTATAATACTTGTATATAACCTGGCATATACTCCCATATATTTTAAATAACCTCTATATTTCATATAAGATTCAACACAATGTTAATACTATGAAAAGAATTGTTATGCTATATTATTTAAGAATAATGACAAGGAAAATAAGTCTGTACATATTCAATACAGCTGCAATCTTTTTTAATTATAAATTTTCTCAATATGTCCAATCCTGGGTTGGTTGACTCCACGGATATGGAAACCAGAGATACAAAGGGGATACTGTACCTATATTTTTATTCTTGATGCCTGACATGGAGCTTCTAATACCTTTGAATTACCCGAGTGATAAAAGTTTTGTTATTCACAAGGAACATATTTATGCTAATGTAACTTATGACTGGCCATGCTTCAAGGTCAGAATGTTGAGCCCCACCTACAAGGGAAGGACCAAAAGTCCATGATTTAATCAATCATGCCTGAGTAAATAAAACTTCAATTAAAACTCTGGAACAATGACACTAATGAAACTTATGGGTTGGTGAATACATGGATGTACTGTGAAATAGTCTTCCCAGAGAGGGCACAGAGGCTCTGTGACACTGTTCAACTCCATACCTTGCCATTTGCATCCCTTTCCTTTAGCTGTTCCAGAGTTCTTATCTTTTATAACAAACTGATAATCATAAGTAAAGTACTTTCCTGAGTTCTGTGAGTTGTAGAGAATTACTGAACCTGAGAGGGGTTTGAGTGATCTCCTGAACTGATAGCTGGCTGGAGAGAAACAGATAGCCTGGGTACCTCATTTGCTGCTGGCATCTGAAATGAGGACACTCTTATGTAACTGAACCCTTAACCTGTGGGGTTTAGGCTAACTCTGGGTAGCAAAAGTTTTAGAAATACATTGAATTGTATGACACTAAATTGATGTCAGGACACCTGGTGTTGGAACAAAATATCTGAATAATTAGAAAACAACAAAACAGCAACCATAGTATTATAGCCTACTACTTTCATATTTACTCATGCTTCTATAGACTTTTCTTTTTTTCTTTTGAGACAGGGTCTTGCTATATTAGCCAGACTGTCCTCAAGATCGTGGGTTTGAACATTTCTCCTACTGAATAGCTAGGAACAGAGGTGTGCCACTACACCTTGTTACCTGTATTTTTAGACCTTTTAAATTTTAAGAAACTTGAAAACTTTAGCAAAATCCATACATACCCAAAATGTTCACAAATAATTCATAATATTCAAATGTAAGTAGAGGTTCAGGGAAATCTAGAAAATAATCTGCGATTGTTCTGAATACATCTCGCTCAAACCCAACATAAGTTGGGTTATTTGTATCATTACTTCTTGGCCCTAAAATATAGAAGGAAAAATAAATAATCAAAATATATTTTAATTTAAATACAATTTTATGGGGTTGGGGATGTGGCTCAAGTGGTAGTGCGCTCGCCTGGCATGCGTGCAGCCCGGGTTCGATCCTCAGCACCACATACAAACAAAGATGTTGTGCCCACCGAAAACTAAAAAATAAATATTAAAAAAAAGAAAAAGAAATAAATACAATTTTAAAAATACGTATTAAAGTATAATACTTGTATTGCATAAGGGAGTTATTTAATTTTTTTTTTAGTTGTAGATGGACAGCATGCCTTTATTTTATTTCTTTATTTTTATGTGGTGCTGAGGATCGAACCCAGTGCCTCACACATGCTAGGCAAGTGCTCTGCCACTGAGCTGCAGCCCCAGCAGTTTAGTTTAATACTATTTTAATACCTGAAAAGTTATAAAAAAAGAAAAAAATTTAGTATATTTTTAAATCATGAGGGGAGTTTTTATGACAACTCATTAATGTTTTCCTCAGAAATAAGACTGGATCACATTTTACAATTAAGAAAACTAAGGCTCAGAGTACCTTGCCTCAGATGAAAAAGCCCTTGATGGTGAAGCTAGAATTAGAACATATAGCATATAAAATGAAAACAAGGCCCAGGACTTTTAGGTCTAATAACATTTAAAGTATAGTTCATAGATACATATATCATCCAATACATTTATTAAAAATACAAGTTTCTGTACACAGATCAGAATCCACAGAGGTGAATCTAGGAATATACTGATCTAAAAATATTTGCTTCTGGTTCATTAAATTTAGTGGTTTCCAAACACTGACGCAGAAATCTTCATTTTAAGTATATTGTGGGGCATAGTTAAAAAAAAAAAAGAAAGAAAAAATCCTTGATTTATTGAGTCAACCAAATCAGAATCTCTATAGAGTCTCCCTAGTGACTATGATATGCATTCAGATTTTAAAGTCACTAGACCATCTGTCAAGTTAAAATCTCTCTTCCTAAGTCCAAATAATCTTTTATATCTGTTTCCAAACTTTTGTATGACCAAACAAGTATAAGCACATACAATAAAAAAGATTAAGAAACACACACACACACACACAAATAGGTTAAAGACTAACATGGATTTTATGTACTGCAAAATAGATAATTTTTTTAAGGAAGATACAAGAAATATTCTGAATATGCTTCATTATTATTGGAATGTTTTCTAGGACAGAAAACATATGTTTATTGGAAATAATAAAGAATTTATAGTTATGAGAACTTAGGTTTGAGCTCTAACTCCTTCACATTACCAGAAAACTCAGAGGGTCTTGATTTTATTCCTCTGGGAAAAAAATTGAGAATATTGATTATTGATTCTTATATCTCACAGAATTACTCTGGGGTATTAAATAATAAGTAAGTAAAAATTCTTAATTTTGTCTCTAAATACACTGCTATTAAATTGAATTTCAGTAAGTTATATATTAGGTATCATTTTAGTATAACATGCTTGGGAAATGAAAGAAAAGAAATCCCTAAAAATGGATGTCAGAGGAGACATTATCAATGTGCTTATCTGAGTTGTCAACAATGAGCCAAGAATGAGAGAGAAGTGAATTAGGTAAGGAAGCTTGAAATAGAAATTAAGTTTGAAGTTTATGAACAGGAAGGATCTTTACCTTAATTTCATAAAGTGTTTCCGTAACTTATTTACTTCATTGCTATTTATTCTGTTATTTTGCCACATTGACACCCAGTGGACAACAAAGGAATAAATACTTATCCTGAACATTAATAAAACCATATTAGAATTTTTAAAAACACTGAATTTATAAGAACTAGAATCTGTACTACATCTATAACTAAAATTACTAACATAAAATTAAATTTTTATGATTTAGAAGCATATATCTTTAGAATTTTTCAAAATTTATTTTGAAACCAATTAGGGCTTAATCAAGATCTTAAATTATGAAAATTAATTGTCACTATCACTATGCAAAAGATTGATCACTGAAATAATAAAATATTATTTCTGAATTAGCGACAAATCTTTTTTTCATAAACATAAAAGTCCTATTATATATCCTTTGGACTAGTAGCATGTAATAAAGCACCTGAATATTGAAGCCATGTACAAGGAAAAAAGGAATGAAGTAGGCTTTACGCAACTTCATTTTTGATTGAATCTTTTCTACCTTACATGCTGTTTTACTTCCAAGTGACCATTTGAACCCTCTGGCTTCTCACTGAGGTAATTACTGTAGTCTGGTTTTACCTAAAAATCCTTTAAAATCCTCTAGCCTATGATTTTATGATTTATGTGAACTAAGCAATAAGTGATGGGCTTATAAAATCACTTTCTGCATGGAAAACATTACTTTAGGCTCCATAAGTAATAGATTCTACTAGGTTTTCACTTAACCATCAAGAGAAACAACATTATTTTAATTTTATTAGGATTTTCATGAGTTATTTAAAAATTCCTTGATTCTTGTTAAATACCATTGATATAAAACATATTTATATGAATAATTTAACTTACAATTTGCTAGGCACTTCATGGCAGATAATACCCAGTGAGGAAGGTCATCTAGACACACAAAAAAATAAAAATTATTTAGGAAGTCACATAATTTTTGTGATAGTATATTTTAGAACTTCACACTTAAGTTTGAAAAAGTTATAGAGATCTTGAGTTTGACTCTGTCTACAATACATAAAATAATTGGCTGAGCCCAAATTAAGAACTATTTGGGGATATGTTTAGACATAAGCTCTTAATCTTCATTTTTAACTACACCACCATTTTCATCCTTAGTTTGGTTCCATCTGTTGCTATGCTGCTTGAATGCTACTGACTTGGTGAGACCTATGATTGAAATGAACTATATCTGACTGTTAGGGTACTGTACAATGAGGCTTGCTTAAAATCTTTTCAACAGTCACCATTTTTATCCTGTTCATCATTAATTATTTTAAAATATATTTTTTAGTTGTAGATGGACACAGTACCTTTATTATTTTTATGTGTGCTGAGGATCAAACCTAGTGCGTCACATGTCCTAGGCAAGCACTCTACCACTGAGCAACAATCCTAGCTCCTTGTTCATCATTAGCCCAATGCCTTGCACACTGTATATCTCAAGATAAATGTGGAAAATCAACAGATTTTATTATTTTTTCCTTTTAAATGCTTAACCTGTCATTTTAAAAATGCATGCATGAATTCACCTTAGCAGTTAAATAATTTCTTATAATAGCATGAATAATATTCACTTAAAAAATTTTCCACTGTTACTACTAAAACATGTATATAACTACTATAACATGTATATAACTACTATAACATGTATATAAAATAATAGACCCTTAATAAAAATATTCCACTTTCTAAATTTGGGTCTCTTTGTTCTCCACTATAGCTGTGCTCTTTGTTACTAAGTTAGAAAAGATTCCATTTTTCTTTTATTAATACCAACCTGATTTGTCTTGTAGTACAACTACTCCATGCTTACTGGTATTGGTCATGTTATACATTATATATTGAGGAATTACTTGGCTTGGATTTATCAGTTCTTCTAGGGATGGAACACCTAAAATGGTTTGCAGGCTGAAAAGAAAAAATAAAACTTTTTTTTCCTCCATAAAATAAGAGAAATAGAATATGAGTATGACTGGAAAGAATAAAGTCATCAGAATATTTTTTTTTTCCTTAACCAAACTCCCAAAGCTTATATGTAACATCTAATTTTAAATATATTTATCTTAATAACATTCAAAGGATTCCAATGTAGAACATAAACTATAGGCATGACTTTAATTCAAAGAAAAAGCAAATTATACTGGAAGTATTTTATTTCTAAGGTAAAGCATTTATTAGGAAACATATACAAAAGTTAAATTCTAAGTTTTAAGAGTTAATCTGTTCTCATTCATTTATATATTTTTAGAAAATGTCAAATGAATCATCAAAATGTTTCAGAAACTTGATTTTGGCTTAGTTTTATCTTACTAGATCAGAATACTATATCTCCAAACTTCTTCAATATCTTCCTGGCTTATTTCTCTCTTATCAGTTGAGTTTTCTTGATCTTCAATGATTATTTCATGACTCCTTTTCTCTGCATTTTCCTGAAAAAAAGAAGTACTATTGTTTAATTTGTTATGCTCAAAGTAAGGAAATATTGAACAGGTACCACTCTTAATACTTAGTAGTTTTAGGCTATTATGGAGCTACAATGTAAGTATAAGGCTATTATGGAGCTACAATGTAAGTGTTGCTTGAAGAAATAATATAGCATATGGTAAAAAGAGTTTTTGTTTTTGTAGTTGCCATTAACATAAAAAAAATCAAGTATTTCTAAGTATTGCTTACATTACTAGGAGCAAGAGAGATTAGTTGAGGAGTTGTGTGGTGACATAGTTTTGATCTTAAATGTGCCCCAAAGGTCCATGCATTGAAGACTTGGTCCCTAACCTATGGCACTACTACTGAGATGTGGTGGAAACTTTAGGAGCTGGGGCCTAATGAAAGGAGGTTAAGTCATTGTGGGGTGCCTCTAAAGAGGATATTGGGACCCTGTCCTTTCCTTGCTCTTTTAATTCTCAGCTGCTATGAGGAGAGCAGTTTCCTCTGCCACACATCTCCCACGATGACGTATTGTCTTTCAACATACTCCAAAGCAAGAGAGCCAACTGACCATGGACTAAAACCCCTGAAACTGAGCCTACATAAATCTCTCATCCATTTAAGTTGATTCTCTCAGATATTCTGTCACAGTGATGTAAGGCTAATTACCATACCAGGGAAGAAAGAAAAATAATCTAACAAAACATAATTAAATTATATAAATATCATTTTCAATGTCTGTCATTTTTATCATTATTTCTGTGAATGAAATAAATTCACATACATAGTTTTAGAATATAACATTGATAAATTTCTGTATTGGCTTCAATATTAAAGCACAACTACTTTTAATACTCTTATTATTAAGCACACAGTATTTACATTAAAAATAGTGATTAATAAATGGCATTTTACCTGAGAGAAATGTAATCCATGCTTCTTAGGAGTTCTACGAGATAAATTTCTTAATTTAAAAACACTATCTTTATCTTTTGTAAAGTTTTCTATGCTGTTTTTCCTCAATTCTGGATGTCTTCGTGGAAGAGTTTTAAGTGGTGAAGTTGCAGGAAATCTGGTTTAAAAATAATATGCAATTAAACGATATGAGAAACTAATTTTTATATCCTAATTTAAAACTCACACAAAGACCCTGATTTGCTTATATCACTAAGGAATGAAGATTCTACATGAATTAATTTTCCTTTTATACTTTAAAAAAAATTTAATAGATTCTTGCTTTCTTTAGTATATGGTGCACATTTTAATTTTATTTATGGACAATTCAGGGTTACTATTATAATCACTTTTGTTGGAGAAGTATTTCTTACACACAAAATAGTTCTATAATGCAAAAATTTTCTAAACTCCCTTGATAAGTTATTTAGTTTGTATATATTTTATGACTTTTGCCTGTTTATCCTAATTTCCCAAATTTAGTTTCTTGCTCCTTTTGGTTATAATGTTGTTTTTCCTCCTTTCATTTTAACATAAAATATTTCCAAGATGTAAAAAAGTCCAGAACATAAGTCAACATTCACATGTTAACTATCAAGTGATATAATCATTGACATTTTGATTAAGATTTCACTATCTTTCTTTTTAAAGTAAAAGAAAAATCTTTGCATACTCCATTTTTTTTCTCCTCCCTTGCATAAAGGAAATCATAAATCTATAGTTAGTGTCCATGTTTTATATTTTCAAGATATGTCTGAACAATATGTGGTCTCTGGTCTGGTATTTTTTTCAACTCATGGTTTCTCTTATTATACATCAAATTTATACATATCTTTTTAGAGACATTAGAAGTTCTTTCTTACTCTACTGTCATAAAAATACTTTCTTTTTTTTTGCAGGGGGCAGGGGGTGGCAATACTGGAGATTGAACCCAGAGGTGCTTTACCACTGAGCTACATCCCCAGCCCTTTTCATTTTTTTTTTTTTTTTTTTTGAGACTGGGTCTCACAAAGTTGTTTAGGGCTTCACCAAGTTGCTGAGTCTGGCTTTGAGCTAGTGATCCTCTTGCCTTAGCCTCTTGAGTCTCTGGGATTACAGGTATGCACCACCATGCCCGGCTTTACAAAAACTTTTTAATTCTCTAATAACAGCTTAATTTTTCATGTTTAGATGTCTAAGTCATGTATAACTTAATACTGAGTTCCCATCTATGTGTGGGTTTCTTTTTGCAGTATTTAAGGGAATTTAAGCCCAGATATCAGGTAAGGCAATTCTCTTATCTTTATTCTTCAAAATGCCTTTGGCCTTTATCAAATGAATTTTAGAATTTACTTGTCAAATTCTACAAAAAGTTATATTGAGATTTGGGATGAAAATGTACTAAATTCATACATAAATGTGGAAGAACTGACATACATATCATACTGTCTATTTTATAAACAGGGTATTGTCTATTTATAAACAGGATATTTTTGTCCATTAATTTCCATTAATAACAACTTTATCCAATAAGGTCTTAAACATTTTTAGTAACCTTTATTGCAAGGTATTTTAGATTTTTGTTACCATTTAAAAAGCTAGAGGCAGAGAGTCTAGCTGAGTAGTTATGCAGAAATGCAGAAAAGAAAGAATAACCTAACAAAAAGAGGATTCATATTGGAGAGAAAAGTGTACAGATCAGAGAACTATTTAGGTAGCACAGTAGACAGTGTAATAATTAAATTACATTTAAAGAGGAGTAGGGAAAGAAGACAACTAAAGGGAGGGAGGCTATTCATTTAGATAGAGAACACAAGAAGACAAAAGGGGTGATAGTGATTTTCTACATACTCTATTTGAAATGCCTATGTAGGTGAAGAAATGGGTCTAAAGCTCAGGAAATTTGGGTTGGAGAAAAAGCAGTTGAAGGCAATAACATGAGACTGTCCAGGGAGCAAGGTAAAGTGAAGACAAAGCCCAAAACTTTCAGACAAGTAAGTTAAAGGATGAATAGGTGCAAAGCAGGCCACAAAGATGACTTAGAAATAATTAAGAGGGAAGATTTGTAAAGTGTTATTCATATGCTTGTAATTTACATGTATGAAACAAATTCATTGTGGTACATAGGTAGTATGATTTTCCACTCTGAAATTCATGTTGAAATTTTATTCCCAAAATAATGAGGTAGAGAGGGAGTGTGACATTTAAGAGGTGATGGGGCATTAAGAAGGATTAACATTTCTTTGGAAGGAGTTCTGGCTCTGGTAATTAGTTACTACTAAAATGTAGGTATTTTTCATATTTTGCCTCTTCTGCTTGCCCTTCTGCTTCTTTGCCATGCTGATGTTGCATGAGACCCTTACCAGATGTGGCTGCCCAATAATGGATTACCCAGCTTCTAAAACCATAAGCCAAGATAAACTTTCCTCATAAATTATCCACTCTCAGGTATTCTTTAATAGTAATAGAAAATGAATTAACACAAAAGGAAAGAATCCATTTCTAAGACATTTAATTTGGAAAATACTAATGTAGTAAAAAAAAAAAAAGCCTTCATAGAAGAGATAAAGGAGTTGAGAAGAATGTTTTAGTTTAATAGTCTCATAAATGTGTATAGTGCTTCAAGTCGAAGAACAATGCAGACAGAACAAGATTTGGTGAAGCACGGTCTCAGCATTCTCATTTGTAAAAATGGTCTTATATATACCCGTAAATCATAAAGCAGAGTTTCTGATACATGAAGACTGCTTGATACGTATTCTCTTAAATGGTGTTGTTTTCTGTTGTCATATAAAGTGTACTATTGTGACATGTATTTTTAGATTGAATTATGTTATTTAAAGGTAAGAACCCGTGAGTTTGCCTTAACTACAGAATGCATGAAAATAAGTCAGTAATCATGTCCTTGAAATGTTATAAGACTTTCATAATGTGCCATGTTTCCCTTTCCAATTTTATCATATATGCTAAACATTTAACAAGTTTGAATTTTGTAGCCATTATCTTAACCTTACAATTTCCAAATAATTTTTTATTAGTTGTTCAAAACATTACAAAGCTCTTGACATATCATATTTCATACATTTGATTCAAGTGGGTTCTGAACTCCCATTTCCAAATAATTTTAATTGAATTAAAAACACTTTTCTAAAGAAAACATTACTTAACTGGAAAAAGTGTTATAGTAAAAGCATAATAAAAGTGGAGATAAAACTTTATAGTAATTTTACTTGGTAGTTACATAAACGTTCAGTACCTGAATAGCTGATTGTTGTCATCAAGGTTTTCTGATCCCCATCTACCTTTGATATCTTCAATTACATGATTCTTCAGAAATTTTCTCAACAGTTGAATAGTTTGTTGCCTTGTAACTTCAGGACCAAAATTACTATTATTTCTTAATAGGTCACAAAGCCAATCCACTGCTTCTCCTGCTGTGAAACAATTGCCATATTTTTTAAAGTGTTGCCTATGTTTTCTTAGAGGCATTCCTGCTCGAAAAGATGTAGTGACTTCATTCCACTGTAAAAATTAAAAAAGATTTAAATATCTTACTGATTTGAAATATTTAGGTAAAGAAATTTCTTTAAGTCTCATCTGATTATACTGTAAAATTCTTTGAAAAAATCATATGTGCTACATAAAACTTTATATCTTGCCGATTTTTTTTTTTACTAATTCTAGTGCCCTAGTAATATTTTCATAGATTTTTACTAAAAATATTAATTGGCTGGTCAGTTTATTTAGGAAACTTAGGAAAAAGGAAGAACTCTCTAAGTCCTTGCTAGGGAAAGCATTTGCTCCTTTTGTTCCCACTTCAACTAAGGCTAATATACTGGTAGCATCTGTGTCAGGAAATGTAATTTATATTCATTATTTCACTTGAATTCTCACAATTGTTTGAATAGGTACTGTTATTTCATTTTTCACATACGACACACAGAGATTAATAGTATGTCCAAGGTCACACAGCTAAGTGAATGACTCTAGAATCTGTACTCTCAATTATTGCATTGGCCAAATAAAACTTTTGCCATGCAGTAGTTATACTGGCCTTTACTACTAGGTATTTGCTATAGTATCTCTTATTTGAAGATTCTTATGATGAACATAGAACAGATGAGGTAAATTAAGTAAAATGTGAATTCACTGCATATCTAAGGACTTGGTGACATCTACATTAAAAAGAAAATACTGGTATTTTCTAAACTGTCCTCTCATTAGCCAAATTTTTAGATTTGTGAAAGCTCTAACACTGGAGCATGAGTGTGTTGGTGGTATAGAATGAACACATCATTTTTTAATTGAAAAAAAATCCTGTATTCGAAGTCAAGAAATATAATCTGAAACCCTATGTAGGTGACTATTAGCTGTGTTATCACTGATCTCATCTATGTGGCCCAGGCATCACAATGGAGAAGGCCTGAAAACATGTTAACTGTTTTCTTTACATACCTCCCCATTTCATATATATATATATATATATATATATCTGTTCAAGAAACTTATAATATTGAGCAGCCCACTATGTACTGGCTTGGTATACAGCAGTAAAAATGACAGAAAGGGATATCTGTACTTAAGTAGATTACAAAATGGCTGTTCTAAAATTCCAACCTAGATGCCCTTCAATAGATGAATGGATAAAAAAAAAATGTGGCATATATACACAATGGAATATTACTCAGCAATAAAAGAGAATAAATTCAAGGCATTTGCAAGTAAATAGAAGGAGTTAGAGAAGATAATGCTAAGTGAAGTTAGCCAATCCCCAAAACCCAGATGCTGAATGTTTTCTTTGATATAAGGAGGCTGATTCATAGTGGGTTCCGGGGGAGGGGGGGGTGGGGAGCAAGGGAGAAATAGAGGAACTCTACATAGGGCAGAGGGGTGGGAAGGGAAGGTAGGGAGTATGGGGTTAGAAATGATGGTAGAATATGATGGACACTATTATCCAAAGTACAAGTATAAAGACACAAATTGGTGTGAACATAGTTTGTATTCAACCAGAGATATGAAAAATTGTGCTCTGTATGTGTAATATGAATTGTAATGCATTCTGCTATCATATATAAATTATAAATAAATAAAATATAGTATGGTGTAGTTGTTTATGGGTGATCTCTAGTCAGACTACTAAGGTACATTTTCCAACCATAGTTCTATTGTTTATTGCATATGAATTTTTTTTTTGGGGGGGGGGGAGGATACGAGGGATTGAACCCAGGGGCACTTGACCACTGAGCCACATCCACAACCCTATTTTGTTTAGAGACAGGGTCTCACTGAGTTTCTTAGGAACTTGCTGTTGCTGATGCTGGCTTTGAACTTGAGATCCTCCTGCCTCAGCTTCCCAAGCTGCTGGGATTACAGGCTTGGGCCACAGTGCTCGGCTGTGTGTGAATTTTGGGGTCTTACTTTTATTCTCTGTTCTTATCTTCTTATTCATAAGGTGGGGAAACTAGCACCTACCTAATGGACTTGTACTAGTTAAGTGTTGAGTAAATGTTACGTTTTCATTATTTCATTGTGGCGTCCTACACCACATATAATTCATTAAATTATAATTCATATAATTTACTAAATTTTAAATATGTGATAGTATTAACTGATTAAGGTTCTCTCTGGTCCCAGATTCTATTCTTTATATTGATTGATACAACTAACTATTTATTGAGCAGCAGAATTCATGTCAAGCTCACCATGTCTGGAAAATCTGCATTCTTCTAATTCTTCCATTTACTGTTTATGTGACTTTGGGGATAGTATTTAATTTCTGTAAACCTCATTTTCCACATTGTCAAGTATGCCTAAGAATACAAGCCCATACCTGAGGGGCATTCCTGAGAGAATAATTTGCTTGGTATTGTACACATCACAACACACTTTCATATACAGGCCCTCTCAAGAAATCCCTTAAGGTGGGCATGTGTTTCATGCCTATTTTACCAACGTGAAAATGAGGCTCAGATGTAAAGGGAACCTCCTAATGCCACAGAACCAGGCAGCATTCACTGTGTCCACACAGATCCAGTGACCATCCACAGTGGTTGCTGATGGATACTTAAAACTACTCCGGCTTAAGTAGGAGGCTCTCTCTCTCTCCTAGTGCTGTTAGGCCAATACTTCCTGCCTCAAATTCCACAGGCCCAAGGAAGGACTCACTTTGGGGCTTGCGCCCAATCTGACCCTACCAAGCTCTGGAGCTCACTCTCCGTTTTTAATTCTGGGGTTTCGTAAATCGCGGTGGGAAGCGGCTAAAATCGGTGTATTCCATCACGTTCCCGGTGTCCAGGCACCGCCAGGCGCGGCGACGTCCAACCAAGTGGCCTTCCCCGGGCGCTTCGCCAAGGCCCTCAGGCCCCAGGCAGCCGGGGGCAGAGGTCCAGACCCGCAAAAGAAGGGACAGTCGAGCCTGGCTATTTTCCCTCACCCTGCTTCCACCGAACAGAGATGCCCTAGGCCGCCTCCCTCTGCCCAGGTAAAACCACCAACGGTCTGTAGCGAAGCGGTGGCCGCCGCCGGCCGGCGGACCAGACTCGCCATTCCGCGCCGTCTTACCAGCTTGGTGGCCCGATAAGGCCCGGGAGGCACACCCCGACCCTCCATAGGTCAACGCTGGCCCACGTCCATGAAAGCGGAAAGCAACGCTTGGTCTGTGCTGTCCAGGCAGCGGCTGTCCGGATACAACTGACGGCCCCGCGGTTGATTTGAATACCTGGGAGGGCTGCGCTGATTGGCCGCGCCTCCGAGTCACGTGATTCGGCGCTTTCCGAGCCGCAGTGGGCGTGGGGAGACTCATTGGAGCTACAGCGCACAGGTGGTGGGAGCTGTGGGCTGGTGCTGTTGAGCCTGTTTAGGGGAACTGCTGAGGTACCCGCTCCGGGCCTCCACCCGCTTTTCAGGCGCAGCTTCTCCCTCTTGCGGTGGATAGCGAGGTGCAGTTATGTTTCCATGCTCTTAAGGGGCAAAGCAGTTTAGTCCCAGAGAGAATTGTTTGGGCCAGCCTCTGGCATAAGGGAATTTGAATTTTGAAAAAGAAAGAAAACAGAACAAACAAAACCCCAAACAAACAACAGTAACAACAACAAAACCTCAACTCTTTTTGTCTGGGTGTATAGGATCTTCAGCAGTATCAGCACCAAAGCCCGGCGTCACCAGGTGTAGCTTTCTCCTGACATTGCCTCTGAGAGGCTTTATGGATGTGTGTTGCAGTGTTCTCGCCCTTGCTCGTCCTAGCAGAGGCCACGATTGGGCATTCAGCTGTCTCTTCCTCTTAAAAGGTTAGTGAAATGGAGCACGAGCAGATTTCCACCAAGTACATACAATGTGAGTTTGAGGAAACGTGTAAACTATACCAAATTGCTTTCCTTAGGAAAATCTACTCCATACCTTAATAAGAATCTTGTTTATGTTTAAAGACACTTCAAACATCACTGGAACTTAAAAAAAAAAAAGTCAATCTAAAAAAAAAAAAAAAAAAAACCGAAGGGAAGTTCCTAATGTTATGTTATATAATATACTTGCCCCAAGACGGAGGTCCACTTGGCATAACTCAGACTTAATGCATTTAATAAATGATTTGTCACTAGTCTGAAATTACATGATGTGAGGAATCCCTCAGTACACCTGGAAAAGATGTTGCTTGATGATTTGAAGTCGTAGAAGGATGATTTAGAAATTAAATAGCAATTTGAGAGGACAGAATTTAGTAAAAAGAACAGGTAAGGGAATATGTTGTTGTTGTGGTGGTGGTGGTGGGGAATGTAACATGGCAGGATAGGTGTAAGGTACATTCATAGGGATGGAAGAGTCTCTCTGTTACAGCTGAGCCGCTATAATGGCCATGGATTGCCTAGCTGTGGACTTATATAGGAAGAAATATAAGCCTTTGTTAATTTGTTCTTATAATTGAACTTAATACTAATTAATACAATAGATTTCACAAAAGAAAATGAAGTGAATGTATCAACTCCTACATATGATGAGGCAAAACATTTTTCCACCTAGACAGAAATTGTTCTAGTGGGCTTTCTCTGTCATCCCCATGGAATTTCATTAATTCTCACTAGAGTATACATCCCATGGCACACTGTACCCAGTTTGTTCACTGCTGTAACTCCAGCCCCTAAACAGTATATAGTAGGAATTTAATAAATATTTGGTAAATGGATGATTTTTTTCTTATCACTAAAAGGAAAGTTTATGGGTAATACAATTAAATGATCTTTCCTTCCTAGGAAACATTTTGTAATATCTTCCTGCATGTTTGTAAGGTTTATTTATCTTTGAGATTTAACCATTCTACCATGCTATGCCTGGTTTTGAGTCTTATTTCATGAATCTTGTTTATTATTGGTCTGTTCTGAGAAAATTTCCTCATTTTTCTTCTGAGTTGCTCCAATCTGTTTTCCCCCTTGTTTCTGAAACTATTATTGGTTATTTGATCTCTTATATCTATCTCATTTTTTGATGGCCTTCCTTCTATAATTTTCATTTTATTATTTTTTCCCTCAGTTCTGAGAGAAGTCTTCCAGCTGAGCTTCTGATTCACTGATTCAGTTTCCTTTTGCACACAGTCTCTTGTTCATCCCCCCAAAAGCTTTTTTATTCTGTGATTATTATTTATTTCTGTGTAACCTACTCTTGATTTTGACTTGAGAATCTGAATTGTGAATTAGAGTTTAATGACTTTTTTCTTATGTTTTATAGTAACTCTGTAAAATGTTCAGACATAACCCTTTACTTTGAACTATTGTTTCTTTCATTGTATGCATTGTTTTTTAAAAGTTATATATTCTTGTAAGATTTTTTTTAAAAAATTAGCATTAGTAATGAAATTAAGACCAGTAAAGATCAGGTAAATTCATGTAAATATTTCCAAAATAACTATTTTTAACTTTTCAACTGTTCATTCCCCAGATATTGCATCTTCAAGTATTAAGGCTGTACTGCTGTAGTGGTTAGGGTTAGATGTTTAGTTGACATGTGTTCTTTTGCCTGGCAATCAGTTTTCATTTCCTTTGGGAAAAGTATACTTCCTCATTGAGGGAAATATGTCTCCCACTCTATATTCTGAATGGACTTTTCTGTCTTCCTTACTATTGGGGGTTACCTAGGAATGAGCACTTCATTCAATTGAGTCATGGTATTTTGCTCCCCTGATTCAATGATATCATAATGTGACCCAAGCCACGTCAACGAGACCCCTCTGAGATTATTTTCAAACTGGGTCAGGAGGAAACAACCTCTTCTTTCTGATGACTAAGCTGAAAAGATATGAGCCAGGAGCCAATGTGATTTTAGTTATAACCAAAAGAAACTCTAGTCAGGTAAAATGTGCTGATATCCAAAGAGAAACAGAGATGAGAGATGGAGGGTACCATTTTTAAACTTTCTGAGGATTGCTTGAATTCCTAAAATTGGATTATGTGAGCCAATAACTTTTTTTTTAATCAAGTCAGTTTGTGTAGATTTTTTCACTTTTACCATACAGAGAGATCTCCAGTAAAAGAAGAGTTTTCAAGAATTCAAATGAAAATAATATTTCTTGGGGGGGATTACATTTAACCCCGTGGTAAAATTTTTATATCATTCCAATATATTGCAGAGATCTATAACAGAGAATAACAGAGAAGCCTATAACTAGACTGGAGAGACTTTTCAGGATTACTGTCAATAAAGTACTGCCCTTCCTGAGAAACTTGTCAAACTGGGTCAGGAGGAAACAGCTACTCTCTTTTGGGGACTTAGGACTCTTCTTGGGAGTTTTAAAAATCTCTCTCTGAAATTAAATAATCTATGTCCCATTATATACTAGACATTTGTACTTTAACTTCTACTAGGACATCTCATAATTAACAAATCCAAAGCAGAAATCTTGATTCCTATCTGAGGTCTCTGGTATCCCACCTAGTACAAAGTTCTTCACTTACTTCTTCAAAGATTCAGGTAAAACTCATATTCTCAAATATGCTGTCAGAGCCTCCTGAGAGAAACTAGGAGGAGGAATCAGGTTTCCATATTTCATATTTTTTCTGTGTTGTATTTGTATGTTATAGAATAATTAATAGGAAAAATAAATATTTGGGATGGTAATGATTATAAGGAATTCAATAGTGTGATTTTTTTTCTATCCAAGATTTTGTAATATAGCCCAAGTGATTCTGCTCCCTGGTTTCATGCTTTTGTGTCATCCCATCATAGAACAAGAAGGGTTAATCTATGTAGCCAACAGAATATTACAGAAATTAGTGTGAATCTTGACATTGGATCATAAGAGAAATACCTGCTCATGCCTTGCTATATCTTGCTCTGGGGAAAGACAGCTGTCATATCATGAAGCTATTTATGTAGGCAGCCTTTTGGAGTCTTCCCTGTGGTGAGCATCTGAAACCCTTTATCAATAGACAGCACTGACTGAGTTAGGTACCTCAGAAATGGTTATTTCAGCCCTAGTCAAGATTTTAAATGATGAGCTCTGGACAACATTTTGACTTCAGTCTTGTAAAAATCCTTGAGCCAAAACTACTAGTTAAGCCATATTTGGATGACCCATCTGCAGAACTATCTAAGCTAATAAATTTTAAGTGTTTTAAGCTGTTAAATTTTAGAGTTACTATATATCAATGCATAACTCATGTAAAGTGCCTCATGTTCTTAAGAAATCAACTAAATTAATAGTAGTAGAGTTTGATGGAGAAAATTAGGGAAAGAGCAGAAAGGAATGAGGATTTCTGCTTTGGATTTGTTAATTATAGGATTCCTAGTAGAAGTTTAAGTGCAGGTGTCACATGTAGTTGGACATAAGATTCTTGAAATTTGGAGAAGCTTCTGTATATAACTTGTATTTTAAATTATAGGATAGATAAGAGGGTTGAGTTCATTGCTGCATCACCCTTGAGGTTACAAAAGATGTCATTGAGATAGGAGGAAAGAGAAGAAAGTGTTTTCAGAAAACGCTATCCACCTTCTCCAAGGATCTGAGAGGTTGAGCAGGAGGGTACAGCAGAGAAGTGTCAGTGGGAGCTTGCAACACAGAGCTCAACAGCACCTTGATGACAGCAGTCTTATTGTAGTGGGAAAAACAGTAAAGCTCAATGAGAGTGACTTGACAAGATAATAGGAATCAGGAAATGAAGGTAAATACCATTATCATGTTCAAGAAGTTTTGCACTGAAGGGGAACTGAGAAATAGGAAAGTAGCCAAAAGAGGGTATGAGGGCACAAGGGTTGATTTTTGTTTGTTTGATTTGTATTTTTAAAAAGTAAGATTCAGAATATCAGACTATATAAACTGATGGGAGTAATTAAGTGCAAGAGAATAATTAATTCTGAAGGAGAAAGGAAATGATTGTGGGAGCAAAATCCAGGAGAAACTGAGAAGTGGATAGAAGTGCAGAGGCTGGCCTTTGATGGGAACAGGAAGTACTTCTTCCTTCCTACTGAGAAAACATTTATAGGTCTTTCCTGTATTGATACAGGGAGTGTGGGAGTGGAAAATGTATCAGAAAAACTGTCTTGCCACCTCAATTCCTACTCTATGTTACATAATTTATTGAAGAATTTACTGTCTGATACAGAATTTAGATTGATTGTTCATTCAACGAGCATATATTAAACTTGAACAATTTGGAAGTTACATTGGAAAAATAATGGAGTATTTTCCTCTAGGAGGTGAAAACCTACTT